CCTTGTTCTTTGCCAATACCTTCAGTGCACCTTGGATTTCTTCCTTCAGTATCATTGGCTCTTGAGCATATGCTACCTTTTGAAATGGCTGAACAATGACCATTTCCTTTTGGTACAGTGACTTTGTGTATTCCTTCCATCTTCTTTTGATGTTTTCTGCATTATTCAATAATTTTCCCAGAGAATCCTTCAATACCTCAAATTGAGGCTTGAAATTTTTCTTCAGTTCCTTCAGCTTGAGAAATGCTAAGCATGTTCTTCCCTCTCGGTTTTCCAACTCCAGGTCTTTGCACATTTCATTATAATATTTGATTTTGTCTTCTCGAGCTGACTTTTGAAATTTTCTGTTCAGCTTTTGTACCTCCTCACTTCTTCTATTTGCTTCAGCATCTCTGCTGGAAAGCAAGTTTCAGAGTCTCCTCTGATATCCATTTTGGTCTTTTCCTTCTTTCTTGTCTTCTTAATGACCTTTTGTTTTCTTCTTCATGTCATCCCACATTCTTCTGGTCTTCAGTGTTTAATGTATCAAATCTGTTCTTCAGATGATCTCAAATTCAGGTGGGATAAATTCAAGGTCAGATTTTGGCTCTCGTAGACTTGTTTTCATTTTCTTCAGCTTCAGTTTGAATTTGCAAATGAGCAATTGATGGTCTGTTCTACAGTCTGCCCCTGGCCTTGTTTGCACTGATGATATGGAGCTTTTCCATCGTCTCTTTCTACAGATGTAGTCAATTTGATTTCTGTGTATTCCATTTGGTGAGGTCCAGGTGTATAATTGTCTCTTATGCCATCTAAAGAAGGTATTTGAAATGAACAAATCATTGGACTTTTAAAATTCTATCATGTGATCTCCAAGGCCATATTTTCCAACTATTGATCCTTCCTCTTTGTTTCCCATCACCAGTATTATCAATACATCTTGACTTCATGCTTGATCATTTTCAGATTGAAGAAGTTGGTAGAATTCGTCTATTTCATCCTCACTGGCTTTAGTGGATGGTGCGTAAATTTGAAAAATAGTGGTATTAAGTGGTCTTCCCTGTAGGTGCATGGATATTATCCTATCACAGACAGGATTGTATTTCGTGACAGATCTTGATATGTTCTTTCTGATGATGAATGCGACACCACTCCTCTTTAATTTGTCATTCTTGGCATAGTAAACCAGGTGATTGTCAGATTCAGAATGGTCCATTTCAGCTCACTAGTGCCTAGGATATCGATGTTTATGCGTTCCATTTCGTTTTTGACAATTTCTAATTTTCTTAAATTCATACTTCATACAGTCCCTGTTCTGATTATTAATAAATGTTACAGCTGTTTCTCTTCATAGCAACCCTGAATAGGCTTTCCAAGGAGCAGCTGGTGAATTTGAACCACTGACCTTGTGGTCCAGTGCGTTATCCCACAGGGCCACGCCAGGACAGCACAGCAAACTCTCATTACAGAGCAACTGCAGACTCTTGACACAGATTCACTGTGTATGTCACATGTCTGGAAGAACACACAGCCAACTGCTAACTCTAGTCAGCTGCCTCTGAAAGTGGAGGTGGGAACTTGGGGATCTGGGGCAAGAGTGGAATGGGAAATGCTACTTTCTACGTACTCACACACATTCAAGATGGGCCCTCCAGATTTCCAAGGCAGCCCCACATCTCCTTGGAGGAGCCATGTTCCTGTAGGCGAGCAGAATGGAGTGCCCCTCTCGGGCCGCGGGATTGCCGATGATTTGTACTTGTTTTGTTTATCTGCATTTTCAGACATTTCTACAATGAGCCTGAATTACTTTTTTAATTAGAAAAGCAAATGAGAAAAGTGAAAGAGGAAGAAGTGAAAGCAGCCACCCAAGGGTTTTAATACCATCAGCTGCGTATCGAGGAGTCGATACCAAGAACTCAAAAGACTCTAAATTCAAGCACCCAACTAATCCGGGGAAAATTATATTTTGTCTGTAATGCTCGCCTTGGACTCAAAAGCCTACTTCCACTGTGGAACTGAAGATGTGAGTGTTGGGGAAATGTATCCTTTATGTAATTGATACAAAAGAAATATTTTGTATGCAGTCTTCCCACAGAGTCCCTGACGGGGCACAAACAGTTATGTGACAGGCTGCTAACCCAAAGGCGAGCAGTTCCAACACACCCAGAGGTACCTTGAAAGAAAAGTGTGGCAATTGGCTTCTGAAAGGTCCCAGCCTGGAAAACCCTTGGGAGCAGTGTTACTCTTCAACACATGGGGGCGCTATGACTCAGTGGCAACTGATAACAACAATGTCAAAGGTGACTTTCAGGCTTAAATAACATCTTCGTAGTTCGCCATGGTTCCTGACACACCGATGGGATAAATAAATGGTACCCCTGGCACCGTGGGTTAATACGCTGGACTGCAAGATCAATTTGCACCACAAGGTCGGCGGTTCAATCTCACCAGCTGCTCCTGGGAAACCCTATATAGGGTCTCTATGAGTTGGTGGAACCAACTTGACGGCACTTAACAACAACAACAATGAATATATATATTGTTGTTAAGTGCTGTCAAGTTGATTCCAACCCACAGAGACCCTGTACAGGGTTTCTGAGGAGCAGATGGTGAGTTTGAACCGTCTATGTATGTGTATATATATGAGTTTGAACCGCCTATGTATGTATGTATATATATGTTGTTGTTAAGTGCCGTCGAGTCGGTTCCGACCCATAGCGACCCTGTACAGGGTTTCCGAGGGTGTAAATCTTTACGGGAGTAGAAAGCCTCATCTTTCTCCCGCGGAGCAGCTGGTAGTTTCAAACCGCTGACCTTAAGGTTCACAGCCCGATTCGTAACCACTACGCTACCAGAGCTCCTTATGTATATATATATATATATAGAGAGAGAGAGAGAGAGAGAGAGAGAGATTGAGATTGGAAGTGATCACCTTGGTGGTGCCTTGGGTAAGAATTTGGCTGCTAACTGAAAGGTTGACGCTTCAAATCCACCAGCCCCTCTGAGGGAGAAAGATGTCGCAGTGTGCTTTCATGAAGATTGCAGCTTGACTACCCGTTGGGACGGTTTTCCTCTGTCCTATACTGTTGCCACAAACTGGAATCCAGTCTACAGTAACTCGTTTGGTTTTGATTTCATTCCTTAAACGGATACTTATCAGGCATTTGCTAGGCGCCGGCCTTGGTGCTAAGGAGACCTGGTGGCCCTGTGCATTATGTGGTGGGCTGCTCACCCCAAGGTTGGTGGTTCGAGCCCACCAGCTGCTCCGTGGGAGAAAGATGAGGCTGTCTGCTCCTGTAAAGACTGACAGCCTGGGAAACCTTGGGCAGACTCGCTATGAACTGGAATGGACTCATGGCAGTGGGTTTGGCCTTAGTGTCGAGGTACGGACTATAAAGGCGAGCAGACACAGATCTAGACTGAAGGGTCTGCACGTACAAAGGCCCAGAGAAGGCACAACGTGGGGCCAGGAGGTTCTGAGAAGCAGCTGGTGTAGCTGGGGTTAACAGTGCAATGGAAATTCCTTGTCAGGTGAACAAAAGGGGGCCTGCTTTACTTTAACACCCACCTGGGGATTAAACCCTCTGGGACCCAGCCCCCTACAAAGGCTCTTTTCTTTAGGACAATGCCACATCTCTGTAGAGAATGATATGGGGGGCAAGGGGAGAGTCTCAAGGAGAACCTGGGAGGTGACAGAAAGTCTTAACCCAAAAACCCAAACCAAACCCACTGGCGTCAAGTTAATGACAACTCATAGCGACCCTAGAGGACTGCCCCATGGGGTGTCCAAAGTGGTTGTGTTTGATGGAAGCAGACTGCCCACCTTTTTCCCACGGAGTAACTGGTGGGTTTGAACTGCCAATCTTTAGGTTGTTGTTGTTGTTGTTGTCGTTACTAGTGGTCATGGAGTCTATTCAGATTCACGGCAACCCCATGTGTGTAAACTAGAACTGCCCCATAGGGTTTTCAGAGCTGTGACTTTCAGAAACAGATCCCCAGCTCTGCCTTCCAAGGGGCTTCCTGGGAGGTTTCAATTGCCAAACTTTCAGCTAATAGTTGGATGCTTCACTATCTGCGCCACCGAGGGACCTAACCATCTTTAACTGTACAATTCGGGGTATTCATTAAATTCTCCCACTACCATCAAGTTGATTCTGACTCATAACGACCCTTGAGGACATAGTAGAACTGCCCCGGAGGGTGTCCAGGACTGCCTCCTCTTTCTCCCATGGCGCAGCTGGTGGATTCAAGCTGCCAAAGTTTCAGTTAGCAGTTGAGTGTTTAAGGACTGCGCCACCAGGAATCAAAGGGAACTGCAAACACAGTACAAAGGATCCTCACACCTCAAGACACACCTTACCTGACTTTCTAGCTCGGTCACTTCCAAGTTCAGCTTGTTAAGGTGCTTGTTCACAAACGTAATGAGGGACTGTCAAGGCAAAAAGATACAAGGACCATGAGTGATGAGATTCAGCCTCTACCGGGTGCAGCTGGCCCAGCGCAGTGGAACATGGCTGCAGTCTCCTCTGTTGGCGCAAAGAAAAGGCCCGTGTTTAGATGACAGTTCTTAATATTCCTTTAGTTATCAGTTACTGTTTGAGCAGATACCTAGCAAAAAACGGTGCCACGTCTACATTTTTTGCACACACAATTCAGTAACATTAATTACAGTCATGATGCTTAACCATGACCACTATCCATTCCCAGATCACCTCATCATCATTTACAGAAGCACAGTGTCCCCCAAAACTCCCTCTCAACCCACCCCAATGCCAAACTCTACCCTGGCTGGAGAAAACCAAGCCTATCTGTTCTCCAGTTCACATAGACACATGCTTATACGCAGAGAAGACGCATCAAGGTCTTCTGAGGATAAAATGGCAAGATGGTGGTGGTGACTGTGTGCCTTGGAGTGGATTCTGACTCATTTTCCGAGGCTGTAAATCTTTTTTTTTTTTTTTTTTTTTTACATTTTTATTGTGAATTGAGTGATGGTTTACATGGGAGAGCATCAGTTTTATGCTCATCCTATGGAATTTCGTTTCATTACAATGATTACAATCCCCTCCATGCATCATCATCCAACAGCATTTGCTTCCATTCCCTCTGGTTTGTTGTAGTCTTCTTTTTTTTACTGTACACAAAAACACTCAAGAATATATGATCATTTAAACACCTGAGGTTGTAAATCTTTATGGAAACAGAAAGTCTCATCTTTCTCCCACAGAATGGATGGTAGTTTCGAACTACAGACCTTGAGGTTAGCAGCCCAATTCATACCCACTATACTACCAGAGCTCCTTAAATAGCAAGTGGAAGGTATTAAGGTTTTAAACGTATCCTAGATTTAACCTGTAACAGCAACATGACTCTTAGAAAACCATTAGGAAAACCCTCCTCGGGCCATGGCCACCACAGTGTCAATGAATGGAGTCCCCCTGTCCCCCAGCCAGGGTGCCGGGGCAGCAGAGGGCTCCATACTGATACATGCATACCAGGTGACACCACCTCTCCTCCCCGCAGAAGTTTAAAACTGGTCACTGCTCACTTTTTTCAACATCAGCTTCCATGGGAATGCAATTGCATTCCATCTCCCTCCTGGAGCTGACGTCATGCCCTTACTCAGCCTCCACATAATTACTGATGACTTACTATGCACCTGGCGTCTGCTTGGGGCTGGGACAAGACAGTCAGAGAGAGCCCTGCCTTGAAAACTTGGTATGCAGCTATGCAAATGTGGCCTAGCTTGTGTGAGCAGGAGAAGCACTCAAGGTGGAACATGCAATGTGAGATGTCAAACAGACATGTGGAACGTGTGTGAGGCATGTAAGGTACAATCGGCAATTGAAGCATGCATGTGAGGCACAAAACATGAAACATGCATGTGAAAATGTGAAACATGCATGTGGAACATGTGTGGGCCCTGTGGCATGGTGTTGGAACATACATGTGAGGTACAAACATGGGATGTACATGTAAAAATGTAAGGTGGAACATGTCACTGAGACATGAGTGTGAGGCTCAAAACATGGAATATGTGTGTGGAAATGTGAAACCTATATGTGGAACATGTGTGGATCCTGTAAGGTGGAACGTGTCATTGAAACACATATGCAAGGAACAAAACATGGAACACACATGTGAAAATATGGAATGTGTGTGGATCATGTAAGGTGGGACATACCATTAACACATACATGTAGAACATGTGTCAATTGTGTAGCATGAAACAAGCAATTGAAACACACTACATCAAACCTGTAGCATGAAGCATGCATGTGAACCAGGACTTGTGGAACATGACACATGTGTGAAATTTGTGAGACCTGTCTGTGGAAGCCTGCAATATGAAATATATGTGAAACAAGCAATATATTTTCTTGCATGTGAAACAGGAAATGTGGAACACACATGTGACGATGAAATATACATGTAATGCGTGAAACACACAAGTGGAGCATGAAACATCTGTGTGAGGCATGAATGTGGGCGTTCTGATGGGCAGTGCAGAGAGAAGAAGTCCAGGGCATATATGGAGTCCCTCTGTCAGGGTACCCAGGGCTGTGGCCGGCGTGGGGTAGGGTAAGGGCAATACCCTGTGGCTCCAAGGTAATCCCCTCACCCACACAAATGCCCAACGGAACAACCGTGGGAGTGCTCGGAAGTTTCTATCCTGAAGGATCACCCATAGTGAGTAACTAAGAACCTCATTGTCCAAGCCAGGACCAACATTTACCAAAGTGGGTTCCAAAGGAATTTGATAGGCTAGTTCCCAAATAAATAATAAATCCAATTATCGACACCTTGAAGAACTGTTAAAAGCTCCGAAAAGTCCCGCAGTTCAGAAACCCATCTGGGGACCACGTCTCAGGCAGAGGATGGCTCCTCAGGCTTCACAGGAGGGAGAGGGTGCATCCATCCATCCTACCATGGTCTCCCAAGGACATGTCTGAAGGTGCACTGGTAACTAAGTGCAACCCAGGTGTGTCTCATTCCCTTGACGGGACAAGGTTTCCTGGAGCTTCCCCCTGGAAGACAATCACCACCAGAGTCTTGGGGTCACACGATTTTTGCCCCTGTTCTCCCGGCCACTGAAGGCCCTTTGTGCTTCTGTCTGGCAAGGAAGCAGCAGCTGGGAAGGCAGGGCCCACGTGTGTTTACCGGGCAGGCTGCGAATGCGGCTTCATGGTAATGAGGCAAGCGAGAGCCAGCAGGTTGACATGCTTTAAAAACATTTCCACACTGAAAAAAAAAAAAAACTAGGAGACTGCCATGCAGAGCCGGCTGGGTAATTCACTTAGCAGGAGAGAGGCGGGTGGGCAGGAAGACACCCTGAGCGCAGAGACGTTGAGTTAAAAGGTGCTAATTTTATGCACTGCAGTTAACGTTTTTTGACTATAATTACATTTCAATCCACGTGGCAAACATTTCAGAGATTTCAAACATGTCCCCACCTTCTGCCCAGCATGGATGGAGTTCATGCTGGATGGGATGAGAGCAAGACAGACAACCCAACCGGAAGCTTACCTTTTTCACCACACTGAGCTTGTCCGGGGCATGGTCAAAGAGGGTGTCGAAGGCATCCCGCTCTGCCAAGGCATTCAAGAGAAACACACGGGAGAGTTTACTAGAAATATTCTGTGTTGCTCTGAGCCTCACCCACCAGACAAGCTGGTTTCTCACCTCCTCAGTGTTCAGCCTCAGCTCCAACACTGTTGGAGTCAGTTCTGACTCAAGGCGACCCCACGTGTGTCAGAGGAGAACTGAGCTCCACAGGGTTTTCAACAGCTGAGAGTTTTGGGCAGCAGATCACCGAGACTTTCTTTCATGGCATTCTTGGATGTGTTCAAACTGCTAACTTTTTGCATATAGTAGTCAAGTGCTTAACTGTGCCCCCAGTGACTCCTGGGTACCCAAGGCCACCATTGCTGTCAAGTCAGCTTGGACTCCCAGAGATCCTAGAGTACAGAGTAGATCCCTCCCAAGGCTGTCATCTTTACGGAAGCAGACGGCCCAAACGCAGATTTTTCCGTTAACCTTCATCTCCTGGGTTGTTGTGAAGTGCCGTTGAGTCGGTTCCAACCCACAGCGACCCTGTATAGGGTTTCTGAGGAGTGACTGGTAGCTTTGAACCACCGACCCTGTGGCTCAAACTGACCTTATGGGCCAGCGCATTACCTTGCAGCACCACAACAGGACTCCTGGGCGTTGTTGTTGTTGAGTGCCGTCGAGTCAATTCTGACCCATAGCGACCTTGTACAGGGTTTCCAAGGAGCAGCTGGTGAGCTTGAACCACTGACCTTGCAGTTCAAATGGCTTTGCAGTCTGATGCATAAGCCCATAGTGCCATGCCAGGACTCCAGACTCCTGGGTAGAGGCTCTTGAATTCCTGCCAGAACTGAAGGTCTACCTGGCTGTCAAGGCTCTGCCAAATCTCAGAAAAATCAGGGAAAGGTATTATACTTTGGGGAGAACCAAGGTGGTGGTGGTGGTTACGTGCCATGGAGTTGGGTTTCCGAGGCTGTTAATCTTTATGGGAGCAGAAAGCCTCATCTTTCTTCTTCAGTACAGCTGGTAGTTTTGAACTGCTGACTTTGAGGTTAGCAGCCTGACTCATAACTACCATGCTGCCATAGTAGATACTAAATGCTCTCTTGACTCCTGGTGTGGTGCTGTGGGTTAATGCGCTGGACCGCAAGGCTAGTTCGAACCACAAGTTTGGCACTTCAAATCTACCAGCCACTCCTTGGAAACCCTATACAAGGTCGCTATGGGTCAGAACCGACTCGACAATGCTTAACAACAACAACAGATGGTGTCTTAGAAGAACAGCCAGAATGCCCCCTAAAAGCAAGGATGGCGAGACTTTATCGCACATACTTTGGACATGTGATCAGGAGGGACCAGTCCCTGGAGAAGGACATCATACTGGAGAGAGAGTCGGCAAACAGGAGGAAGCCCGTGAATGAAACGGATTCACACAGTGACAGCAATAATGAGTTCAGACGTAAGTACAGTAATGCGGATAGCGCACGGCCCAGCAGAATTCTTTGTTGTACATAAGGTTGTTATGAGTCAGAACCAACTCGATGGCACCTAACAACAACAAGAACAGATGCTTCTAGAAGATTCCTTCTGAATTAAAAAAGAAATACTCGACTAGCGCTTTGAAGCAGCTGCTGTCATCACATCTTAGATCTGGAGGCGTCCTTGATTCCCTCCCTTAGTAAATAGGACCCTGCCGCCCACCCTATCCCATGCAGCCCCACTATCCTCGCAGCCTTCTTTCTACCCAATGTACTGTACTCCTGGGCCTCCCAGCCAGACATCCCCCAGTACGGAACCCTCTAAAGGGAAAACCAGATCAAATCTTCAGGGTCCCCACTTCAAGTGCTGACTACTACCCGCTGTGGCGAAGCAGGGACACCAGAGATGGAGGCAGAGATGGGGACCTGGAGAGAGGGAGCAGCTGAGGACTCGAGATTCATGGAAAGAGAGAGACTGAGAGCTGGAGGCCAGGAGGCAGATTTTCAGAATGTGCCCTTTGGTGGTTTAAATTATTATATATGCCTGAGTGCTTTAAAGAAAAAACAGCTAAAATGAATAGAGGGAAATACTGTTAACTGATGGTACATGGAGGGGATTATAATCATTTTAATGAAACAAAGTATATGATTTGTTGAATGTAAAACTGATGATCTGCCCTGTAAACTTTCACTCATAAAAACAAATCCTGTGGCTTCTCGTGTCTCTCCGTATAAAATGACTCTCTTTTCTGCAAACCTGTCGGGTCCAAGGGGGCTCAGCCCCTTGCCCACCTCTCCAGTGTCGTCTCCTGGTACTCACCTCTCTGCTGCCCCTCGCCATATGGGGCACATGCCTGCCTCAGGGCCTTTGTCCCAGCTGCTCATGCACCCCCACTCACCCCCAGGACCTTCCAATAGCTTCTCATCCACTCAGAATACAGAGACTTGTCCCCTGTGGACTTTTCGGCACGAAGACACCGGAAACCCCCACCCCCACCCCCCCCCAGCTACAGATTGATAAGAAAGGCACAGGTAGGCTGGGCGCAGGTTCTAGGCTGAGCACTGGGCAGGTCTGAGAGAGGCGGGAGGAAACTCAGCAGCCCAGAGGATGTGATTAATAAGGAGATGCTGTCAGAGCAGAGGGTGAAGGGGCACTGGGAAACAAGCCCTGCCCTCCAAGACTCCTGGAAGCAGTGGGAGCTCAGGGGATGGTGGCCTGAAGGGAGACTGGTGCACACAGGCTCCAAGGTGGGGCCCCCAGACAGCTGAGCCCACTTGGACCCACTGAGAAGTCTCCTCCAGCCCGGATGGGTAGCCTGTGTCCAGACCCAGAGCCAGCCCAGGTCTCCCTCAGAGGCATCCAAGATGGTTAGAGAGCCCCAAAGGAGAGTGAGGAAGGGGCAAAGAGCAAACGCCTACCCCAGTTAGCCAGAGATGCCTCCCAGCTGTGCTCGCCCCCAAAGGGGAGTGCTCAGCACCCAAAATCAGTGCCCTAGGGGCAGCTCACACCCAGGTTCCGTCTAGCCCAGGCCAGCACAGCAAGCCTCTACTGGGCCTCAGTGGGGGTGGGGTGGGGGGGGTGAGACAAAGAGGAAGAGAGAGAGAGATCACATGTGTATATGCATGTGTGGTGTGTGCCTGAGTAAGTGTGTAGTGTGTACATATGCGTGTGTATATGTGTAGTGTGTATATAGGTGGCGGTTGGGTGTGGGAGGGAATATATATGTGCAGTGTGTGGTGTGGATAGGTATGTGTATACAAGGTATGGGTTTTTATGTAGGTATGTAAGTGGATATGTAGACGGGTGTGTATAGATAGATGTGATGTCTGAGCATGTGGACATGGATGTGTGAGCATATGTGTGTGTGTGTGGACATGGATGTGTGAGTGTGTGTGGATTTGAGTGTGTGTGTGAGTCTATTTGAGTATGCACATATGTATGGATATGGGTGTGTGAGTGTCAGTATGTAGGGATGCATGTGTGGGGGGGCACATACATATGTTTACATGTGTGTGTTGGTGTGTGTCTGGGGCCGCGAGCACCAATCTACCTCACTAAACAACAACCCTGACACACGCCGTGGTAGATTATTTTTCTAATCACTTAAATCCGATTATACTCATTGAGACAGAAGCAGCTAAATCTTCACAAAGCAGAGCAGACTTTAGCTGTAGCTTAAGAAACCCCACACAGAGCAGAGCCTGCGTCAGCGGGTATATTTAGCTGGACCACCGATGGGTTCACACAGGCGAACCTCAGGAGGTGCTGTGGTCTGGGAGGATGTGCCCACGGCTCCCCCGACACGGCCATGCTCACCTGTGCTCCAGGACTGAGCCTATCACTGCCAGGAGAGGCCGTGGGGACACCAGACCACACACCAGCAGATTCACCTTTGCCTTGGGAGCGGAATTTAAGTGCCTGTTGCCCAAGTTAAAAGTTCAGAAACCATTTCCTCCTCTGTAAAGTAGGAACAGAAGCCTTTGAGTGGCACACCCAGTGAAGCGCTCGATGATAAACCGAAAGGGTGGCAGTTCAAACCCATCTACAGATGTCTCAGAAAAAAGCCCTGGTGACCTGCTTCTGAAAGAGCACAGCCGTGAAAACTCTGGGCAACAGTTCTACTCTGCACACACGGAGTCACCATGAGTTGGCACTGACTTGATGGCACCTTACAACAGCAAAGCGGGGATGAGGCTTCTTCCCTACCCGTGGGCGGGGTAATGAAACATGACTGTGAATAAAAGGACAAGCCACCAGCTGAGGACATCCACCCCCTTGCCCTCCTCCCATACCCCACTTCCCTCTTAGGCTCTGGGCCCAGTCCCACCCTGAGTGACATCGGCTCTGGAAGAGGCAGATGGACAAACCAGGTGGTAAAACCCGGAAAGTGCTGGAATGTTCTGGAAAGTGTCGGAATGTTCTGGAAAGTTACGGAACATTCTGAAAGACAGGAACACAGCTGCACTCTGAGACAAGGCTGTACTGACTGTCCCCCCAAAACAAACCCATTGTCATCAAGTCAATTCTGGCTCAGTAACTCTGTGTAGGGTTTCTGAGGTTGTAAATCTTCACAGGAGCTGACAACCTCAACCTTCTCCTGGCGTATTTGAACCACTAACCTTGGGATTAGCCACCTAATGCCTAACCCAAAGCACCACACAGTTTCACCCAAATCTAATTCGAAGCAGAGCATAGTTGGCTCCATGCACAGTTGGCAATTTGGGGGTTTGTTTTAGAGTCAACATTTTTTAAATTGGAAAGTTCGTCAAAAAGTTCTGAATTTCTGGCTTCTTCTGAGGAATCAGATGCTGTGGCCACAGCTCTCCTCCAGGTACCGGCTTTATGGGGGTCAGATCTCTTCAGTCAGGTCCCCGCCAAACCCAGTTCTGTCCAACACCTGTGGCATTTACCCAGTTACATCCTCTCCACACCCTTCTATCCCATTGCTTGTCGGGGCCAAGAGGCACCTAAGTTTAGAATCCAAGGGAGTTTCTGCAAAGAAGCCTGTATGTTTGAGCTGGGACGGGAGGAGGTGGAAGGGCATTCCAAACAGTGGGAACAGAAGGCACAAAGAGAGAGACAGAAAGAAACTTGGAGTAGGCTCAAGGGATGGGGGTCTCTGGTGTGGGCCAACTCAGGTGAGGAGGGGTTGTATCCTGCAGAGTGCAGTGATGAGTCCCGTGTGGTCAGGCTGGAATTTTCTAGAAGGACTTCTGTTGGTAGGAAGGGGGGGGGTGGATACGAAAGGGACCCTCAGCCCTCAGAAGGGTTCAAGGGAGAGAGGTGGACATGGCCCCCTCCCCTGTGTCCTGACACAGCCTCAGGAGGGGGCTCTGAGCCAGCAGGAGCCTGGGGGAGGGGGAATGCCTGCGAAAGAGAAAGAAATCAGACCAACAAGCCCCGTTGCCATGGAGACCAGGCTGCAACCTCCCAGCTCCCCTGAGACAGGATTCCACAAAAGATGCCTCTAGCCCCCACCTCAGTCAGGCAGTGACGCCACCAGGAGAGATGCTTGCCCAAGCCCACCTCCCCCTCCTCACTCAGAACCCTCCTATGGGAAATGGAGGCCCCCAATACCAGACTAGCATCAGCCTTTGGCCAAGGAGGGTCTGCTTGGCGTTCTAGAAGCTTCTGGAGTGGCTGACGCTTGCTGCAACCTACTGTGTGCTTCAGGCCTGGAGCTGGAGGTTGGAGAAGAGCGGGCTCCTGCCACAGGGTGCTTATTACCTAAGGAGCCACTTAAGAAGCTACGAGGGAAGAGTCTTGGGGACCCCTAAGTTCTGTTGGCACCAACTGTGTCTGCCAAACACGTACTAGGCACTTTACATGTGCAAACAACACTGACAGAGAAAGCAAAGACCATTTTAAAAATTAGCAAGGCAGGGAGGAAACAGGGAGGGCAGAGAATGTAACAGGGTGATCCTCACTGAGCAGTGTGACATTTGAGGAGTGGCGGGTGTGAGCCATAGGGTAATCTAGAGGGAGAGCATTTCAAGCAAAGAGTATGGCAAGTACTAAGGCTGGAAGCAGGCACGAGGAAGCCACGTGGCTGGAGCAGGGCAATCAGAGGGAGACAACTAGAGAGGAGCTGAGAGGGTCCAGAGGGGTCATCTGGGCAAGAGTCTTAGTGGTCTCAGCACAAGCCAAGGGGGTGGGGTGGGCAGATGATGAAGAGGGTAAGGGGCACTTTAGCAACCTTCTGGAAGGGCAAGCCTGAGGCCAAGCAAGGAGGATCTGATTTGGGAAGGAGGAGGACTAGAGACTGAGGGTGTGTCAGGACAAAAGACAAGACAGGTTTGCCCCCCATGTGAGTAACTAGGCAATTGGGAGATACGTCAGCAGCAGCAGCAGAGCCAGGGTGGGACTCACCACCTGTCACTGATTAAAACGTCCTGTTTGCATTTCACGAGCAGGAAGCGAATCGTGAAGTAATGGGTCCGTGGTTCCAGAGTCCCCCCTTGAATGTTCCCACATCTCCTGGGTCTGACCCACAGGTACTGAGGCTCCACACAGGAGTCCCTGGCTCTCACGTGGGACACCATCCTGCATACCAGACTGGAGACTTCTCAGCCACAGGGTCTTCTCAGCCATAGGATGTGTATACACTCCCCCTAAGTAACCCAAGCCTCAACTAAGTGCATCCCAAACAGGGTCAAGACAACTCCTCTAAAACACTTTTAAAACGCTGAGGTTCTTACAGACCCATTTTCTTTTATCCCTAGTGGGATTGAGCTTTCTCAACATACAAAGAAAAGAGAAAAGATACTCCCACCTAAAGACAGAACAATGGTGAGGCTGGTCCATTGCTGGGGGGCCCATACAACCTCTCCTCACTGCTGGCCTGCCCCCTGACCAATCATGCGAGGGAGAATTTCATCTTTTTACCTTGTTGTTATTTTAATAAAAATGTTATTTTAAATAATGTTGTTGTTGTTAGGTGCCATCGAGTCGGCGCCGACTCATAGCGACTCCACACACAACAGAACGAAACACTGCGCGGTGCTGGGCCAACCTCACCATGGTTTTAATAATAAAGATCTCAAAAAGAACTTACTTGTTCCTTTAAAAAAAAAAAAAGGAAGGACTGTGAATTTTCCCAGCACAGCTTAAGGTCTACTTAAGAAGGCTTAAGGACTTATAATTACTGCATTCTCTCTTGTTCACGATCTTTAAGAACTAAAGAGCCACATCCACTTTTTGTACAAAAGCAACAGGAATGAGCAAGTGCCTCTCAGCATGGCTGACCCTTGTAGAACACCCACAGTGCCCAGGCACCCAGAAACACCCTCGTCATCCAGGCAGGTGGGAGGCTGCTTTTGTCTTCATGTTCCTTTCAGTAGCTTTCTCCTGGCCCTGCTCGTGGAGAGGCATGTGGGGTCAAGTACTGGTATGGCCCTTGGACAGGGTGGAGTGGCTCTGACTGCGGCTAGAATCCCAGCCGAGGGTGTCCATTCCCACGGTGTCAACGCTGCTACAAGCTACCCGCCTGCTGCCAGCCGTCTGGTGCTGAGATGAAGATGGAGGATATTAGCTAATTGGTAAAAGAGGTCTAACCATCTTACTGACAGTTGTCGTTGTTGGGTGTCATGGAGTCGATTCCGACTGACTTATAGAGTCCCCGTGGGACAGAGCAGAACTGCTCCAAAGGGTTTCCTGTGTGTCATCTTTTGGGAGCAGACCACCAGGTCTTCCTCCTGAAGAGCCAACGGTGGGTTCCAGCGAGAGACTTTTTGGTCACAGCTGAGCACTCTAACTGCTGCCACTGAGTCACTTGTAACTCTTGGTGCATCAGGGTAGAACTGGGCTGGTGTTTTAGAAGCTGACACCAAACCTTTCTTCCGAGGTGTCTCTGGGGGGACTTGAACCTCCAACTTTTCTGCTAGTAGCCAAGTGTAGCCAACAGAGCCCACACTCACTACCAAACACCCTCTCAGCAATTCCAAGGTAAAAACCATTACCAGCCCAGTTCACAGCTGAATAGCTCAGACTGGAGAAGAAACACAGGCTGGGTCAGAGCCAGGCCTGGCTGACAGGTTTGTGAGGCCTGAGATTTTAGGGTGGAAAATACATACAAAATCTATCCAGTGCCATCAAGTCAATTCTGACCCACACCAACACTACAGGACAGAAGGGAACTGCTCCTTAGGGTTTCGGAGACAGTAAATCTTTATCAAAGCAGACAGTCTCATCTCTGTCCTTTGGAACTAATGGTGTGTTTGAACTGACAACCTTACAGTTAGCAGCTCACTGCTTAAGCCACAACATCACCAGGTTTCCTTGAAAATATTATATGTTGTTGTTGTTAAGTGCCGTCAAATCGGTTCGGACCCATAGTGACCCTGTATAGGGTTTCCAAGGAGCGGCTAGTGGGTTTGAACTGCCAACCTTACATTTCAAACCGACCCTGCAATCCAGTACTTATCCTCCAGTGCCACAAGGTAGAACTGCCCCGTAGGGTTTCCAAGGCCATTATCTTTATGGGAGCTGCCAAATCTTTCTCCCAAGGAGTGGATGGTGGATTCGAACTGCTGACTTTAAGTTGGCAGCTAAGTGCTTAACCACAGTGCCACCAGGGGTTATCTACATGAAAGTTATTGTGCGCTGTCTCTCTGTACTGACTCATAGGGTTTCCAAGGCTGTAAATCTTAACAGAAGCAGTACTCCTCATCTGGTTTCACTGGAGTAGCTGGTGGATTTGAACTGCTGACCTTGAAGATGTATACTCACTGCATTCTCTCTTGCTCACGATCTTTAAGAACTGAAGAGTTCATTACCCACTATGCCACCAATTGTTGTTGTTAAGTGCCGTCGAGTCGGTTCCAACCCATAGCGACCCTGTACAGGGTTTCTGAGGCTGTAAATCTTTATGGGAGCAGAAAGCCTCATCTTTCTCCCATGGAGTGGCTGGTAGTTTCGAACTGCTGACCTTAAGGTTCACAGCCTGATTTGTAACCACTACGCTACCAGAGCTCCTTGCCACCAGTAACATCCTCTAAACGGAATAACTATACTCGACGTCCTAGTTCCCGTCTCTATCTCAGTCCTCAACATGGAGAACCACCGAGACACATCCATTTCCCAGCGCCCACCGCACCCACTTCATCTCAGGTCCATCCAGCCTCTCATGGCTCCAAGAAACTCAACTCACGGCTGGAACAAGAAGTCTGGGCCCCAGCCCCCAGCCCCCACCCCCCGTGTGGTGGCATGGACCCCAGCTCGCTCAGCAACCCACACCGTCCCGTGTACACGCTACTCACCGAACCGGCCCATCATCATCCTGCAAATGAAAAGAGAGACAGCCATTATTCCGGTCACTTGAGACAGTGTGATAAACAGCCACATAGGATGACAGAGCCCACAGAGCCAGGGTCCCTCACTGTCCAGCTAATCCACCAAGCATGATGTCCTTCTGCAGGACCTGACTAGTCCCTCCTGATAGCATGCCCAAAGTATAAGAGATGAAGTCTCATATAACTTGCTTCTAAGGAGTATTCGGGCTGTACATTTTCCAAGAGAGATTTGTTCATTCTTCTGGTAGTCCACATATTGTCAATATTCTTTGCCAACACCATAAGCAAGCCACTGAGGACAAACCTTATAATGCAAGGCTGCAGATTATTCAATGGGCACATTTTCATGAGTAAGCATGATATAGTTCCAGGGAATCTTGAAGAAAAAGCATCCTAAAGAAAGCACCAGGTCAAGTTCCTGGTTTTAAGCAGTCTAAACTGCATGCATGACGAGCAAATGCCAAGTTTTTCCTTGGTTCTAATGCACAAACACCTAACTCCTTCCCGAGAGGCAATGAGATCTGTTTTTCATGCTCAAATCCCTGTATGCTCAAGGTCTTTGTTGCTGTTCAGTGCTGGGGATGTACAAATAACAAATCACATCCTGGTCCTACATCATCAGTACAATTGTTACTGTTTGAGCCCATTGTTACAGCCACTGTGTCAGTCCATCCCGTTGGGGATCTTCCTCTTTTCCGCGGACCCTCTACTTTACCCAGCATGATGTCCTTCTCCCGGGACTGGTCCCTCCTGATAACTTCTCCGAAGTACAAGTAAATGAGCCAAAGCCTCGCCATCCTCACTTCTAACCCTTTGACTCTGTCTAATTTAATGAGTATTCATTTAAGCACCTACTCTGTGGCAGACTTGGAGATACAGCAATAAATCATCCAGAGTCCCAGCAGTGGAAGAAAGATCCAGAAGGCGTGTTTCAACACGGCTCGTTGGTACAGTAGCTGCAGCGTGTAGGATATATGAGTTTCCTTGAACTGCCATAACGGAACGCCACACAGACTGGGCGGTTTATAAAAACAGAAATGCATTCTCTCACGGTCAGAAGACCAGGATTCCAAATTCAAGTGTCAGCCAGGCCATGCTCTCTCCACAACTCTAAGCCTCCAGCGTCTGGTAGTGCAGGCATTCCTTGGCTTGTGGCTGCATCTTCATGAAGCCATCCTTCTGTGTTTCTGGGTCTCTCCTCCTCTTCCATAAGGATGCCACTCAGATGGAATTAGGACTCCCATCCTCCTGCAGTATGACCTCTTGGTAACTGATAACAAGGCCACCTTCAAAGGAACTGAGGTTAAGACTTCAATATAGGATTTGGGTTGGCAGGGAGCACACCGTTCCATTCATAATAGAGAAACTTCCATGAGAACTAAGGATTCCTGGTGTGGTGTTGAAGGGTCAGCGCTAGACTGCTAACCATAAGGTTCAAACCCACCAGCTGCTCCTTGGAAACCCTATACAGGGTTGCTATGAGTCAGAACCAAACTGATAGCATTAATCACAACAAATGAGAGTGAAATGAGCCATGGTGGTGCCATGAGTTAAGCACTGGGTTGCTAAATGCAAGGTTGGTGGTTCAAACCCACCAGCCGCTCCTGGAACAAATGATGTGGCAGTCTAAATCTATGAAGATCTACAGCCACATAAACCCTCTGGGGCAGGTCCACCATGTCCTCTAGGGTCACTGTGAGTTGGCATCGATTGGACGGCAGTGGATTGAATGAGGAGGGAGCCACATGTCAAACAGGGAAAACTTTCTGAAGGCGGCGGCACTGGAGCAGACTCTGTAAAGCAGAGAAACGGGCAGGGCATGGAGGCTCCTGGGAAGGTGGGGCCGATGCCTCAAGGAATGAACCCTGGGGCTTGGGGGCTGAGGAGGGTGAGCTGGGACAGGGGCCATTGCAACCCAGTCCGACCCAGCTGCCAGGCATCTGAAGAACCATCCAGCTGAGCCCAGCCTGAACTGCTGACTCTCAGAAGTGAGAGCAAATAAAATGGTTTATCTAAAGACAGACGTGGTTTGATTTACAAAACTAGAGAGCTCACCGACAATCTGTATTAGCTTCCTAGAGTTGCCCTAACAGAGCATCCCAATGGAGGCAAACAGGGCTTTCTTATCTGACCGCTCTGAGACCAGAAGTCCTAAATCCACATGTCTGCAGGGCCATGCTCTCTCTGAAGGGTTTCAGGGAAGAACCTCTTCATTTCTTCCAGCTTCGGCTGACCCCTGGCAGTCCTTGACCTTTTGATCCTGTAACTACATCATTCCAAGCTCTGCCTTCATCTTCACATAAGCATCTTCCCTCTGTGTGTCTCTGTTTCTCCTCCTCTTTTGTGAAGACGTCACTAGATGGGGTGCTTGTCATTGTTAAGTACTGTCAAGTTCCCTCTCATAGTTCCCATTCATCGTGTAGGGCTTCTGAAGCTGTAAATGTTCAGGTGAGCAGAAAGTGTCATCTTTCTTCTGTGGAGAAGCTGGTGGGTTTGAACACTGACCTTGTGGCTCGCAGTCCAGTGCTTGTCCTGCAGAGCTAACACGCTCCTACATATTGGGTTAGAGTCCACTCTGGTCCACTATGACTTCATGTTCACTTACCTAATTGTATCTTCAAAGACTGTGTGTGAGCAGGTTCACCTTCACAGGTACGGGACTTAGGACTTCAGTGTGTCTTATTGGGTGATAAAATGCAATCCAGTGCAGTTCCAATGGCTCACTGCTGCTGGGACCACCAAATGAGCTGAGGAAGTCCTCGAGGCATAGGACCACACTCCTCCCGGCTCCCGTCCCTGGTCTGGAGTGGATGGCAGGCACACACACATCCAATAATGTCTGCATCCTGTCACCTCCCCCTAACAGCTCACACGCCACAAGTGGTTTCCAGTGTCAGCTCCAATTTTTGATAGACCACCCACGTATCCCTGATGCAGTCATTAATCTCAGTGCACTGAGCTGATCTGTTTGTTGAAACCATCTATTTTTGAACACTGTTTCATCTTGAACAGGTTGGTTGAAGAGAGACAAACACAGCCAATTTTAAACTCCATTACTGGGAGTATGACAGAGGCTCCTAAAAACCACACATACACATACTATTGGGTTTGCTATTCTCAATGCATCTGAAGTCATTTAGACTTCTTACAAAATCACCCCCTGGTCTTCTCTAAGAGATAAGAGATGCTCAGAGGCACTGTCTGTCAAAGGAAAGTTCTAGTTCAGACATGTGGCTCCCCACGCCCCATGTGACAATGCTAATGTGAGACAGACAACAAAAATGACAGGTTTCTAATCACCTCGAACAACTCTTCCTTCTCTCTTCTCCTCTCTCTCAGCGTTCTTTCTCCTCTTTTAATCTACTAGTTTGAAATTTTTTAAAAAGTCTTTTGTTTTAAGTTTGCTGCTGTTGAAAATATAAACAGCAGAACATACACTAATTCAACAATTTCTGCCTGCACAATTCAGTAGCACTGAATACAGTTTTTTAGTTGTGCAACTATTCTCCCCTTTTCTGAGTTGTTCCTCCCTCATTCACATCAGCTCACTGCCTCCGCAGATTCCTATCTAACCTTTCGAATTGCCATCGTCAATTTCATCCACAATAGCAACATACAGTTCTTTAAAGAGCACCATGATCAAGGCGTGGGCTACCAAAAGAACCAACAGATCTGTGCTGGAAGAAGTACAGCCAGAGTGCTCCTTGGAGGCCAGGATGGCCAAACTTCGTCTCTCATACTTCGGACATATTGTCAGGAGAGACCAGTCACTGGAGCAGGATATCATGTTTGGTAAGGTGGAGGGTCAGAGAGAAAGAAGAAAAACCCCCAGCAAGATGGATTGGCGAAGTGGCAGCATCGATGGACTCAAGCGTGGCAACAATTGTAAGGTTGGCCCAGGATCGGGCAGTGTTTTGTTCTGCTGTGTATAAGGTCGTTATGAGTCGGTACTAACTCGATGACACCTAACAACAACAACAACAACAACAACAAATGATCAACGCAGGCATTTTTTACCAGTTCAACTATTGTTTGGCTTAAAGAGGACTTCAAGGGGTATTTGTGGTTTAGGATTTAAAGATTATCTCAGGGCAAAGGTTTTAGGCTCACCCACCTTTCAGAGCCCTTTTGTTAAATAATAAGTCTCCAACGGTGGTGGTTCTGTGGGATAAGCAACGTACTGTTAAACCACAAGGTCAGTGGATACAGTCCAGCAGCTGTTCCATGGGAAAAAGATGTTCTGCTCCCATAAAGATTGACAGCCTTGAAAAGCCTATACAGAGTTTCTATGAGTCAGCACCGACTCAATGGTCCTTAGCAATAACATTACAAGCTTTGAAGGAAACACATGAAGAAAGGAAAGCAAGGGCTGAAGATTACATGGGACTCTCACCCTCAGGCTAATCTAATGGGCCATCCAGGGGACAGTGACCCCCACACGCTGAAGCAGCGGCACTGGGTCTGGACCATATGGGAGAAGCAGGACTCAGAGGAGCAGGGAGCACGGGCCACTTACTCTGTGGTTGAAGTCAGCTCCTCTGTGATGTGGTTGGAATGCAGGAGGCCTTCTCGTTTCTGAAATCCCCAAAACAAGGAGTTAACAAGCAAACAAAGCAAAACACCCTCCCAGCTGCACGGTTATCAACAGAGTGATTGAAGACCTATACACAGGGCTCGGCCAGGAGACCAGCATACAACAGACAGACAGGAGTCAGCCACGACTGACTGGCTAGGAAGGTATGAATGGCTGTAGTGAACATCCAGGTCACTTCCAGGTGAACACAGGGGACCACAGGAATGGTGCTTTGTGTCTGACCTTCCCCCCACCTTCTGTTCTCCACATTACCCTCTGAGACGGCAGCTGTGTGGGTCTCAGGAGAGAAGTACCAGCTCTCAAAGGGAGTCTCTATATTGGGCAGCCGGTCAGGGTGAGGAGCTCCCTCAAAGGGAAAACCACAGATAAGGATGCACCCAATGCAGTTAGGTACGGGAAACACTGTTCCCCAACCACAATGGTGAGGACGGTGGGAATGGTGTTGACAAAGGTGAGAGTAGTGGAGGTGGAGATGTAAGTGATGGAGGTGGGTTGGGGGTGGAGATGTGAGTGGTGGAAGTGGAGATGTGAGTGGGGGAGGTGGAGTTACAGATGTAAGGGGTGGAGGTGAGTGATGGAGGTGGTGTTGTAAGTGGTAGAAGTGGGTGTGGAGGTAGACATGTGAGTGGTGGAGGTGGAGATGTGAGTGGTGGAGGTGGAGTTGTAAGTGGGATGTGGGTGTGGAGGTAGCAGCCCCTTGTACCACAGGAGCATAGGGTGGAGAGAAGCTTCAGCTAATCTACTGCTGGCCCCTCCTCGAACCCCTTGAAGAACGAGTGATGGGGATCTCCTGTCTCCAAAGCACCCTACTGTGAGCATCTCTGGATATCCGAGCCCCCGCACTCTCCTGATCTCAACCTCCAGGAACCCCTCATGCTGGTGCTTCCTGATGAAGAGCAGCCCATCCACCTTCAGCTTTCTCAAGGTCTTGTTTTGACCGACTCTATGAAAGGCCCAGGGAGGACCACCCACGGTCCTTTATCCGCCCAGTCACACATGGAACAGCCAGGGCTACATACTGGAGACACAAAGGCGAATATCTGCATGGTTTGTAGTGCGCTCTGTCCTGTTATGCACAGGGCACTTTGGATTGGTGCCTACTCGACCTCACTTAACAAGTGTCACCTCAAGTTTCACAGGGACATTACTGCAGTTTGGAGAAAGTAAGTGATTTCCTCAGGACTATGCCACAAGGTACTAAGTGGAGCTCTGGTAGCGTAGCGGTTACAAATCGGGCTGCAGACCGCAAAGTCAGCAGTTCAATACTACCAGCTGTTCCGCGGGAGAAAGATGAGGCTTTCTGCTCCTATAAAGATTTACAGCCTTGGAAACCCTGTACAGGGTCGCTATGAGTCGGAACCGACTCCACGGCACAGAACCACCATGCCACTAGGTACTAAGTGAAGACCCTAGACCTGCAAGGCTGCCTTCGCCCCAGGTAACTGGTGACCTGGGCAAGGCCAGACGTAGAGGGGCAGCGAGTCCACAGGGGAAGACAGTAGGCCAGGAGGTCATCAGAACATCAATGCAGGCCTGTTCTGGGGACCTGCTTGTCTCTTTCCAGCCTTTGCTGGGCATGACCCCAAGGAATTCTTCTGCAATCCTGGTTGGGCCGCCAGCATCAGCATGGCGTCCCAGAAACCTACAAGACATTCTTGGGCCAGTGTGCACGTCGGAAAGGAAGTATCCGGTGACTGAGACTGCTGTAAGGGGCTCTGCTTCTGACGTACGAGGGTTTGAGAAGCACACTCCCGTGTCCTTGGGCAGCCTTTCCCGGCTGGCCGCCTGAGGAGGGAGCATCCAAGGACAAGGGAAGTAGGAATGGTTCCCCTGCCCTGTCACCACCGCCGACCACAAATATTCCTCCCTGGAAGGAAACAGGGTGAAATGGCTAGGACCCCATGCTGACTGCCAGCAAAAGCTATTTCTGTCAGGTTGAGACCACCGAGACCACCGGAGCTGAACTGGGACCAGAGAGACTACAAGACAGAAGAGACTTAATTGCTGGTAGTTTCAGTGACGTAAGCTCAGTGACGTAAGCACAGTGGAATAACCTGGACGCTCTGGCAGATAAAGGTGGCTCAGGGAGGCGTGTGCTCTTCACGTGTCGTCAGTAGTCCTGTGCTGAGGGCTTGGTGCCTTGTGGTTGTCATTGTTACCTGATACCAAGTCAGCCCCCCGGTTCATACAGCCCCCGCCCACAACAGAGCAAAATGCCACCTGGTCCTCCCACCAGCCCCATGATCCATTGCAGACTGGACTGTGATGCTGAGGGTTTTCATTGGCTGGTTTTCAGAATGATATATCCAGGCCTTTCTTTCTAGTCTTCTTAGTCTGGAAACTAAGCCTCATAGCAACACACACGTCTCCACTGATGGATGAGTGGCGGCCATGTATGAGGTACACTGGCCGGGAATCAAACCCGTGACTCCCACATGGAAGGCGAGAATTCTACCTCTGAGCATACAGCTATGCAGAGAGTGCTTGACACTGAGTTGACAGGGACACGTGGTGAACCCATGTGTACAGAATAGAACTGCGCTATGGGGTTGTTATTAGTGTTGTTGTTGACTGCAGTCAAGTCGGTTCTGACTCACAGCGACCCTGTATAGGGGTTTCCGAGGAGTGACTGCTGGGTTTGAACCACTGGCCTTGTGGTTAGCAGTCCAGTGCTTATCCTATAGTACCACACTGAGGTTTTCATAGTAGATGCTTTAAGGCACATTTTGTTATTGTTGCTAAATGCTGTTGAGTTGACTCCAACGCATAGAGACCACGTATAGGGTTTCCAAGGTGCGGCTGGTGGGTTTGAACCACTGCCCTGGAGGCTAGCAGTGCAGTGCTTATCCTATAGCACCACACCAGGATTCCATATTGTTGCTATCAGGTGCTGTCAAGTTGACAGACAAGAACTGCCCCATGGGGTTTCCAAATCTTTACAGGGGAGCAGGTGCTGAGTTCGAACCGCTGACCTTTGGGTTAGCAGCCTGTGCTTAACCACTGCATCACCAGACCCCTTTAAAACTCTGGACTAAAAGAATACAAAGCCAGGACAGCCTTTCCACATAAATATCAGGGCAGAGGTGAGAGAGAGGCATCACTTCTTTAGCCGACCGAGAACCTGGCTTCACTTCTCCACTGAAACGAGAGCAAGGAGCCCCAGAAAAGAGCTAGCGCAGGAGACGGACTACACCGCAGAGCAAACGCTGCGGGGCCTTGATTTGGGTATCTATTTCACACCGCTGGGCTCAGCCTCCTCTAGTACCTAAGTAATAAGTACGTTCAATGGTACTGAATTCCAACGTGGTGGCTTTGGCGAGAAATCAATGTTCTTTTCAAAAAATGTAGGAAATTAAACCTACATGCTGTCCTGTCCCCAGATCTGCTTTTCTTCAATCAATGCCATTGTTCCTGCTCCTATCACGTGTCTGAAAGCCAGCGGAGACATCCCATTTTGTCAAGAGGGAGGACAAAATGGAAGGCAGTCTTTTGAGAAATAGCTAAATAAAGCTGGAGAAGGACAGAGCTTGGGCAGGGGGAGGGCAAGTCGACCGTTTGGAGACCAGTCTGGCAGTACTCACCCTCACAACCACCACCTGCACAGAGACATGTTCCGGAAGCCGGATTGGGGCCCGAAAGTGCATGGCCAGAGAGACGAGGAGCTGGATGATAGCCACCAGGTTCTTCCCGTGAATTGCTGGGAGAGAAGAGGAGAACAGGATGGGAATGTGTTATGTTCAGTTACAGAGGAACCCTGGCTCCCTTACCAAGATCTCTGGGTGGAGCACACGGTTTGCTCTCAATTAACTGAAAAGTTGGCAGCTGGAACCCATCCAGTGGTACCATGAAAGAAAGGTCTGGTGAGCTACTTGTGTAGAGATCACCCTGTAAGATCCCGTGGAGCAGTTGTCTTGAACACATCTGGGCTCGCCATGAGTCACAATCGACTCCACGACTCATTTGGTTATTTCCTGGTCTTACTTACCTAGAGCTTCCCTAACAGAAGTATTATAAGGGGATAGCTTTAAAGAACAGAAATACATTTTCTCACAGTTCTGAAGGATGCAAGTCCAAATCTAAGGGGAGGTTCATTCGTGTCTAGTTCAGCTTCTTGTAAAAGGAGCTCTGGTAGCGTAGTGGTTACGAATCGGGCTGGGAACCTTAAGGTCAGCAGTTCGAAACTACCAGCC